ATCACTTGGGTTGTTACCGACATCTGGTGAAAATTTCATGTCATTAGCACCTCTAGTAATATATTTACTGAGAAAAATGGTCACGTGTTCAATACATGCATGACTACATATTCTTAAATAAATTTGGAGGAAAAAAAGAGCAAAAACAGGTAAAATTCCATCACCATTTATTTTTTTATGGATGCAAAATTAAATCTAAATCAGTCTTTTAAAGTAATCGATTCATTTTTTTTTTACTCATTGTACAGAACCAACTTGCCAATAAGGTATCAAAGCACTTTTGGATTGCAGTTAGTTTGAAAGAAACTCTTCAAACTAAACATGACCCTGGTGTGTGTGTGTAGGTGTGTGTGTGAGAGAGAGAAAAGTAAAATCAGTGAGCAGAGTGTAGTTGTGAGGGAAAAATTGGTGAAACTCCGAATAGATTTRGCTCGATTTTTCATGGCAGTTTGTGTCACTGAAGCTGAAAACACAAAATATGTGTTTTCCCTGTTTGTGTGTGTAAATACGTGAGGAAGATGGAAACAAAATGCGACAATGTGGTCATTCTAATGCTGTCCAACGGGGCTGCCGGCTCTTTACCTTGAGTGTTGCTGAATCAGAAACCTGTGTATGGATGTGCTCATCCTTTACAACAAAATGTGACATGTTTCTGCTCCTGTGTGAATTCGTGAACCCTCATGCACTTCCTCTTAAGCGACACAAACAATGCAGGCACTAAAACAGAGAATTAGTAACATATTCTTTCTTTTAAATCTCTATATTTGAAAAGCACAGCCAAGTGTCACCTCTGGTCTTCATCGGCGAAACATCACAACTGCGTCATTTTTTTTTTTTTTTTACTGCTGCGGCTCGTTTCCGATGGTCATGTTTGTTTGTTGCAGCTGCTGTGACACTCAACTGATTCGTAAAACTAAAGCATATTTTATTTTGCAAGTTCCATTCATCGACTTTGTTTTTTTTAAATTCACTTTCTATATTTCATTCTTGCAAAGTGAAGTTAATTGCAGCTTTGTGAACATAAAGGGGGGGAGGGGGGTGGCGTAAAAGTCAGAGAGTCTGCTGCTGATTCACACGTGGAGGAGTCGGCCAGAGAAGCAGAGGCAAAGGTGGAGCAGTTTGGTTGGTAGGTGCGGGCTGATGTCGTCTATCATCTGGCRTAGTGCTTGATGTAATCTTGAACTTTATTTCGAAAATCCTCCTGAGTGGAMGAGAGAAGTAAACAAGAGAGTAAAGTGTGGGAAACCAGAAATGTAGCAGTTGTAGACAAAACTTAAATCTTTCCCGCGAGTTCGCTTGCTAAGTGAAGAAAGCAACTAAATAAAGCAACAAAAAAGCTTTTAGTTGTATTTTTCCTGAAGCTGAATGTCTGCAAAGTCCCTCAAAACCTGATATTTCCTGCTTTTGTCTGCACAACTCTATATTTGACTAAATCTGAAGTCAAAGCCACAACACAAATCCGTAAGTGTATCATGCAGCCAAAGAGCCAAACTAATTTGAGGTGGTGCAACTCATATCGACATCACAGATTAGTCATTTGTAAAAAGCTGAATCCTCACGACAACTGTGCAATAAAGGAAAATACATTTACACGTTCCTACAGTCGTTTGCTGGCCAAGCAGTAAAAGTTTCCAGAGAGGATGGGATGTGGCATTCACAGCACAGAGGTGTGAAAACTTTTATTAAAAACTAAACAAAACTTTAAGGTTTCAGGACTTTGTAGATTGTAAAACAGTCCAAACCATGTATCAAGTAGACTATTAATACACTGAATCCAAATTTCTATGCTTGTCCCGCTTTCCCAGAATCCAAACTAAAATGTCCTGCTTAATTTGAATTTATGACTCATTTACCATATATTGGTAACTTGGCTCAGCTGCCCATGATGGCAGAATTATGATCCCATTGGCATCCAGAGACAGAAGAGAACTAAACAAGTCCAATCCCAAAGGGAACTTGGTCTTTTTTTCCATGCTTTGTCTGTGTGGAGACTCAGAAAACTCTGAGAAACCCTAAAATAAAGTTTCAAGGGCTGAAATATTATAAAACCAAAAAAAAAAGAAGTCATCTTGACTGAAACATGTGAAATGATTATATTTTGTCGCACTGATAAGCAGACAGTAAATTGTGAGGATGAAGCTGTAGATCTTGAATAAAGTTATTTTTTCTTGTTATAAATTCTCTTATCATACCTTTATATTCTCAAAAAAATACATCAATTAAATGGTATTGTTTGACTGTGGAGGACCGAATTGGACATAATTAGAAATAAAACCAGAAATGTATAAATGGACCAATAAAAAAATACACCAATTATATTCAAAAACGAGAACTTTACCTCATGTTTATCATTGATTTGACCTTCATATTTATTTTTCCAGCATAGTTCCAATAAATTATATAATTTAGCACATAATTTACATTTTATTCTTCTAAAAAATATATATTTTTAAAAATTTACAAAACTAAACAGCCTACAGTATTTTTACAGTTTTATTTTACAGTTAAAATAAATGTTTATTAAATAAAGTCTAATGTTACAACTAATTGTGGATCCCTTTAAGAAAGAAAGAAATGTAGCTGAGATTTTGTTCATCTCTGCTTGCTTTCAGCCAAATATAGCAGCTAAATCTAAAGAGTGAAAAGGTGCAAAACAGGAGGATTTGGGTCAGGAGGATAAGAACGTAAATCTAATTTGGCCTTAAGATCCACTGTCCAAATGCTTTCTGACAAATGTTTACATTGAGTAGAATACAGCAGATGGAGTGAGATTTGTTGTGCCGCAGCAGGAAATCCAACTGTTTATGCCCAGTTCTGTCAAATCTTAATAGGTGTACCTTTCCCCACACTGACAGGACATGGAGCTGCTGTGGGACCTGAGGATTTTTTTTCTCAGCAATGCCTGGTGGTTTGCCAAATTTTACGTTTGCCAGATGTCATCTTTTTATTTTCAAAATGAAGAAAATGTTAGTTTTGCTACAGAATCAACTACGTGTTTATTGGCTCTGTTTGCATTCCTCTAGGTGCAGCTTAAAACAAATGGCACTACATGAAATGAGGTAATCAGGTATAAGATGTCAAAACTAATGGATAAAACTGGTAAATTCTATCAAACAATAACACAAACAGTTTGTGCGTCACTGCAGTCTATTCCCATCCTGCTCCTTGAATACAAGCTGTTTAAAGAGTAACTTACCCCAAAATTAACTTTTTTTAGCTGATAAACTGTCTAGAATGTGTCTAAAATGTTATATAG